GACACACAAACAGACACACACAAAGATTAAAGCAGGTCTTAATCATATGCATGCTGAGGTTTTAAGTCAGATATTTCACAAATCCTCCACACAGACAAACATTACAACAGTGGAAGATGATTAGCAGTGTGTCATATGCTTTCAAAACCACATTCAGTTAAGGGATTATGGTCACAGAAAACAAGGAAACTGCTTATTTGCCCAACAACAATGGAAGGGAGCTCAATTTTCAAAATGCCCGAGGGCTTGACAGACCAGAGCAGTCACATTCTTGCACACCCTGAGATTCACTAAGCAAACAGCAATGTTATTTATTAACCCAAACACGCCCTGGAACACAGGCAGCTTTCCTTACCTCAAAGACATACAGCATACAGACAAACTCTTCCTCAGGAATCAAAACAGCATCGGTGATGTTACCAGTAAATCCGAACACAGGCACAGTCTGTCCTTATCTCCTCCCCTGTGTGTGCGTATATATGTTTTCAATCAAGTGACTAAAAGGTGCAGTTTTGTTTCCTCTGCTCCAGCGCGCCTGCTTCCTGAGTGTGGATTTCCATATTTCTGTCTGTGTGCCAGTGTGTGTGTGTGTGTGTGTGTGTGTGTGTTTGTTTGCGGGCTGGCAACGGCTGTGTTGCTGCCGTCTCTTTATGGGCGGTGTATGGTTCACACTCTGGTCTATCTTCCTGCTCCTCTGTCAGTCATGTGATCGTACGGGCTGCTGTGATTGGTTGGGGAGAGGAGCAGGAGAGGAGGGGGAGCTGGTGTGGATGGCCAGAGGGAGGGTTCAGCCATCAGGGGAGGGAAAGGGAGGAGGGGGATGGGGAGGAAAGGGATGTCTAATGTAGGACATAAACAGTAAACTGTGGTGCTTTCAAGAGCAACATATAATGGATAAATAACAACATGTATAAAGGATGTAAAAAGACAAACTGAAATGCAGACAGATGCTGTTAAATATTTATGAAATAATAATAATACAATCACTGCAGATGCAAAACAGGGTGTGATTTCCCATAAAAAGAGGCGGAGAGTGTGGCTGGTAGTTTCAGAGGTTTCTCTTGTTACACAACAGTTAATGGACTGCCAAACTGGAGCGCGTGCACACACAACACACACAAGTTTCCCCCCTATAATTCCCATCACATTCATTTGGTTACATGTTCAGAGTTCAGAACAGTCACAGTCAGCAGCTGCTGAGAAACAAGTAGTTACTTCATTTTCCTCTTTAGTCTACTGTTTCACAATCTGTATTTCAGTTTAAAACTCTGCTCATGAAGCTGTATTCTCAATATTACAACGTAAAATGTCGACACAATGTAAGAGGAGGCTTTAAAACCCTCAGCAGTTTCTTTGACAACAAATTACTGTTCAGAAAACAGGACACACTCTAATAATCTCACTATAATAAATACTCTGTGAAGTGTCCCATGCAAAGCAGATTTGTAACCAGTTTGACAAGGTACTATTTTATACACTCAGCAAAACAAAGGTGACTGCCAGAGGTTTACTGTGTCCAATATTCAAATGCAGAAAAACATCACACTATGCTCACACTGTTGCAGCACAGGAGAGACACGTCATACTGCTCCTGTCATGTAATTCTACGCCACAATTCATCAATTAAAAATGACCCACCACAAAAAACACAGCCGTTTTCCCTTCAGGTCGTCCCTCCTGTCTCTATGCGTCACAGACATAATGTGTATACATACAGGTATAGCAGGGCATAGCATGAATGACACATATCACTCAGCTTCACTAATGAAACAAAATCAAATTGTGACAGACATATTTTGGCATCAGCACACTCAGTTTAGATTCCATTTGCAGGGTAATTGATTTTCAAGGGTATAGGGTCTACAACAGGCAGAATGTCTACAGTGGAGTACAAGCTCAGATACAGTCACAGTTGTGCCTTTGAGGCTGTAAGGCCAGGGCTGCTCGATTATGGAAAAAATCATAATCACGATTATCTTTGGGTCAAAACTGAAATCAACGAATTATATCAACGATTATTTTTTTAAACTTCAGAAACATGCTGCATTTATTTGGATCAATTTGTCAAAAACACTTTGCATGAAAGTCCTCAGTGACACTTTCCTTTCCCCATAAACATTTGTAAAGTGCTCCTCGTTAACTGATTCAAATGAAAGATACATGTAACAGGAAGAAGGACCTGTCAACTCAAGTGTGGCCGACCCCAAACCAGCGACAAGTCAGAAATAGTTACGGTGCTCCCGTGACTTCACATTGTCGCGACAGGTCGGGAACGGCGAGTATACCGAGCGCATGACTCGTGTGCAGTGCATGCTGTGGGGGAGGGACGGAAATACGCATGCGCGAAATACGCAGACTGTATACAACGTTGCACAACAGAAAATGAAAAAAAAATCGTTTCCCCCCGATTTTATTAGTTTTGAGATCGTTTGGCCCAAAACGTAATCATGATCAAATTCGTATTAATTGAGCAGCCTCAGTACAGTACATACTTTGAGACCTTTGACCAAGGACATTTTACCCAGTCATTTTACCCAGTCTTGCTCTCATCAAATGGATTCTGAGATTAGGATCTGGGTTTAGGGATGAAAGTACGTAAGGCTTTATGTAGTTTAGGGGTGGTTTGGATTTTGGTAGATTAGGTAAAATTAGAGGTAGTGCTAGGATTACATTTAAATTAATCTCATCTCTAATGTTTGGTTTAGATGAGATTAGAAGTAGTAATTGGTTTACATAAGGGTTAAGACTGGTTTAGGTTTTGGGTGTATTGTGATGATCAAAACTAGTAGAACAAGATTTTTTGTAGAATCAGGGTCAGTGTACTTTGGGGCCAACAGATATTTGTTTTGAAATGAGAAAAACAAAATCGCGAAACAAGCCACTTTCCATTTTTTCTTTTGAAAATAAAAACTGAAAACAAAGAAGCGACCCATTTTTTTGAATATATTTATAAATGATAGTCAGGAAACAGCTCCTTTCCCAGGTTTGGTTTTGGCATTTCAAAACTTTAATGCTAAACTTACTTTAAACTTGTTGCTAATGAGCCCTAGATTCAACCTTAGATATCAAACTAAATTTAACCCTAATTTCAACAGAGCATTTATACTAATCTTAACCATAGACCCATATCCTCAACTGGTCGAGGCAGACGACCACCCACTTATGATTGATTGGTCAGTGTACTGTTTGATATATATATATATATATATGTATAGTTATATAGATATATGAATCTAGGGCTCAGACTCATTAGCAACAAGTTTAAATAAGTTTAGCTTTTTGTCTGGGGTTTAGGTGTAAGATTAAAATTAAAATTAGTATTACATTTAGAATTTGGGGATAAATTGAGGGATCAAATCCTGAGTTTTGGTACTAGTTCTAAATGATGGCTAAGACTTAAGGGTGAGTTTATGGTTCAGACTATTGTTAGTACTTGGTTTAAATTTGAGTTGAGGTTAGTTTAGCGGTGGGTCTTGGTTTTATGGTAAACTTAAATAGACCTATGGTTGGCTGAAGGTCAGAGCTTGAGTTTGGAGTTCAGAAGAGTATTAAAACTAGGTTTAAAACTAGGTTTAAATTTAGGATAAGTTTAGTTCATAATTCCAGGTTTGGTCTAGTGTTAACAGTAGAAGTAGTGCTAAGATTTATGGTTATATACATTTAAGATTGACCACTGACCAAAATGTTGGAATCACCTGTAATACAGATTTTTTCTTATTTTTTTCCTTCTTCCTTCAGTAATGGCTATTTTAACAGAGATAAAAACAGGATAACTCTGTATAAACAGAATAATTTAAGTAATTTAAAATTAAGATTTGAGTTTAATTAGGACTTCAAATAGTATCACAAGTGCATGAGTGTGTTTGTGAGTCGAGTACACACTCTTAATGTTTGTATTTTTTGTCAATTGTGCCTCCAGTTGTTACACTAGAGAAGAATCTTCAGTCACTGGGGACATCTAGAGATACAGCAGAGCTACGGCAGAGTCTGTGAGTAACAAACACACACACACACACACACAAGTATATTTACTTGTGTGTTTACAAGTTTGAGGTATATTTACTTTACTTGAGTAGTCCCATTCCATCAGTCTTTATACATTTACTCCACTACATTTGAGAGTGAAATGTTACAATTTAAGGTTTTACGTTCACAACATACAGTATGAAGAACTTTTAAAATGATGATGCATTAACTACCAAACATACAACACAAGCATACATGATTATTCATTTAATCAATTAGTTGATTAGTCAGTTGTAAAAAAATAAATAAATAAAAAAAGTCTTTTTTCATGCAAAAATGTGTTCAACATCTCAAATGTGACAGTGTGCTGCTTTTCCTTGTCTTTAATTACAGTAAACTGAATATTTTGACTGTTGGTTGGACAGAGCAAGAAAGTGAAAGTGTCAGCTTAAGCTCTGAATAACTGTGATGGACATTTTCTCTGACATTTGATCCAATAAAAGAACTAACAAATTATTAAAGGTCAATTTAAAAAAGGTTAATTTTGAAGGTCCAGTGTGTAACTTTTAGGAGGATCTATAGTCAGAAATGGAATATCATTTTTATAGCTATGTTTTCATTAGTGTATAATGACCTCAAAATAAGAACTTTTTTTTCCGTTGCCTTAGGCCACCTTCTGTGGAATCCGCTATGTTCAACCACTAAGTTTCTACAGTAGCCCAGAAGGACAAACCAAACACTGGTTGTAGATCGAGTTGCAAGTCCTCTTTGATTTTGTCATGTCAAGTCTAAAGTCATCAAATTCGTGACTTAAACTGACTTGAGTCCGAATACCTCCTGCACCACTGACACCTCCCAGTAGCTCCTACACTTTCATTGGCTTAGGGGTGGGGTCAGGGGTACTTGACGGTTCATCTCATTGCAAGGGTTACATTTACCTCTGCTTCCAAAAAAAGTGCTTATTTTCTCTTTGTTTCATCGCCCTCTTTCATATTGATTATTCTTTTTTAGTTGAGCTGCCAGCAATTACCAGATTCAAAGCTGATGACAAAGTGGCCAATCTAAGATGATTGCATCTGTTTAAAATGCATTACATCCCACTGTGTTGGCTGGCATGTCATCAATTCTATTGAACATTTTTTATGATCGCCTTGGAAACTTACTGACAATGCTTGGCTGCTTTTATTTTTAACTGCCCATTTTCCTCCAGCAATATTGATGCTGGATGCAAACAACACATCCAGTGCCTCCGACTGATGCAAATTACACCCAGTACAATTCTTTGTGTTATTCAGAAGCTCTCTGTGTTTTTCAAAGATTGCTCCAGAAAACAGTCAGGAGGCTTCCTGATTCAACAATGTAATGGGGACTTTTAGAGCTCATTAAGTATAGGCTTCAGTTTTGAACAGTATTTTTTGCAGTTGCAACAGTTTTCTCTTGTTGCCTGTGATAAACTTTAAAATGAACAGATTTTTATGCCTTTTAAAACACATATGCAAAAATGGTGAATAGTTTCTATATATTTTTTTAATGTGCTGATTCCAAGGCTTTTCCACCCTGACAGGGCCAGTTCCATGGGTAAAAACACAGAAAGTCTATTTTAGCAATAAAACAGCACTCAAAAATATAACAATCTCTTGTAAATTTCCTGCAATTTGATGACCAAAAGAAAGCACCATCCATGCAGATTGCAAGAACCGACCTCAAGCTTTTTTGATGAGGGCCTATTGTATTGACTGAACTATAATTTTCTTTGTGGATGTCTATTGACCAAGTTGTTGTTTCCCCTGTCAGGGTCTATTGACTGAAATGCTGTCTAAATAAAGCAAGTACTTATAAGGTTAACATGAAAGTGGTCAGTGTTAAAGAGAAATCCCTTCAGAAAGATGAGAAATATCCTCGTTGAACAAAACAGTCTCATTACAAGGTCAATTTTGTATATGCTCTGGAGCTTTCAGTCCTATCACATGATCTTCATCAGATCATCAAATCTGAAACTCAATTTGCTGATTAAGACAGTGGCATGACTGAAACCTCCAGAGTTACTCAATTGACTTCATGGTGAGATGGTTTTTCAACTGCTGTTTCTAAGGTCAACTTTGATCCTTTTTTAAGCTCTTATCCCAACTTCATTCTATTATTTTATCAATTGTTACTGTTATGCCCCTAGAAAATATGTATCAGCAGTTCATTGTGGTTTGTGTATTTTTGTAACCATAGCAACCGAGGACCAGTGCATGCTGGGAAACAAAGTAAACAATTGCCATGCGGTGATCAGCTACGGTCATGTGTGAGCTCTCTCAGTCGTCAGCTTCTGAGTTGATCGCTTTTCTTTCTCCCTCTTTGCTAAGGCAACGTCTTTTCACAAGATTCCCAGTAAACTT